ACACTGAGTTAGACAAACTGATCCAACAGGGAATTCTAGAACCTGTTGAGTCCAGTCCTTGGGAGACCCCCATTGTCACGCCTCTAAAGGCAAATGGGGACATTCGCATTTGTGCTGATTACAAATGCACTCTTAATAAGGCATTGCAGCAACATGCCTATCCTGTTCCTGTGGTCAGTCACATCCTGGCCTCCCTCAAGGGGGGGCGTGTTTTTGCAAAGCTTGACCTAGTTCAAGCATATCAACAGCTGCCTGTTGATGATGATGCTCCTATAGCTCAGACTATTGTGACCCACAGAGGGGCCTTCAAGGTAAAAAGGCTACAGTTTGGAGTGAATGTCGCTCCTGGGATTTTCCAAAGCGTAATGGAAAACACACTACGAGATATACCAGGGGTTTGCCCCTACTTTGATGATGTCTTGATTGCAGGAGACTCCACACACATTCTAGCTGAAAGGCTCAGGGCTGTTCTGTTAAGATTCAGGAAATCAGGCCTCAAGCTCAAAAAAGACAAATGCAAGATTGGGGTGCCTTCTACTGAATTTCTGGGGTTCAAAATTGATGCTGCTGGGATTCACCCTGCTGACTCCAAACTAACTGCTATTTTAGAAGCACCTAGGCCAAAGTCCAAGGCCGAACTTCAGGCCTTCCTAGGCCTCCTGAATTTCTACAATTCCTTCCTTCCACATAAAGCTAGTGTAGCTGAGCCTCTTCACAGGCTACTCGACAAACAAGCAGTGTGGCAGTGGTCACAAACGCATGAGGGTTGTTTTAACAAAGTCAAGGCTTTGCTCACTTCTAACAGTGTACTTGCACATTTCAACGAGTCCCTTCCTGTGTGCATCGCTTGTGATGCGTCCCCTTACGGGGTTGGAGCTGTCCTGAGCCACCTCAGGTCTGATGGAACTCAGGTTCCTGTCGCATATTACTCCAGAACATTGTCTTCTGCTGAGCGCAACTACGCTCAGATAGACAGGGAGGCTCTGGCTGTTGTTGCTGGAATTAAAAAATTCCATGACTTTCTATATGGCAGGCACTTCACAGTCTTCACTGACCATAAGCCTCTGCTGGGACTGTTTACCACATGTAAGCAGACTCCCCAAATCATTTCCCCTAGAATGCTTAGGTGGTCTATTTTTCTGTCTGCATATGACTTTTCTTTACTCCACAAGCCTGGGAAAGAATTGGGCCATGCTGATGGCCTCAGTAGATTGCCTCTGCCAGTAGTAGAAGCTGACCCTGCGCCAGCTGTCAACATTCTATCAATCCAAGCCTTGCCCGAGCTCCCTCTTAGTGACAGGGATGTTGCCGCTGAATCAGGTACAGATCACACACTTTCACGTGTCCGTTCCTGGGTTTTGTCTGGTTGGCCTGAGCACTGCCCTAGTCCTGAGTTTCAGAGTTTCTGGTCCAAAAAGAACGAGCTGTCCCTTTCTCAGGGTTGTCTGCTTTGGGGAAACAGAGTTGTCATTCCCACCTCAATGAGGACTAGGGTCTTAGATTCCCTCCACGAGGGTCATCCTGGCATTGTTCGTATGAAGGCTCTTGCGCGCAGCCACTTGTGGTGGCCTGGTTTAGATAAAGATATTGAGGCTAAGGTGCATGCATGCCACCTGTGCCAACGATCTCGCCCAGAGATGCCCCAAGCTCCTGTGCATAGATGGGAGGAAACGCAGTCCCCTTGGTCTAGGGTGCACATTGACTACGCTGGGCCCTTTCAGGGCCAGTTCTTCTTGGTCCTTGTTGACAGCCATTCAAAATGGCTTGAGGTTGTACCTGTCTCATCCACCACCACTGCAAAGACTATTCCGGTACTGAGGGGGATTTTTGCTGCACACGGGCTTCCAGATGTCATTGTGTCTGACAACGGCCCTCAATTCACTTCCTCCGAATTCCAAGCTTTCTTACAGGCTAACATGATTCGTCATGCCACGTCTGCACCCTTCCACCCGTCCACCAACGGTATGGCTGAACGTATGGTGCGCATCACAAAGGATGCCTTGAAAAGACTTACCTACGGGGACTGGCATCACAGGTTGGCTGACTTTCTCCTTTCTTATCGCACCACACCGTCCACTTCTACAGGGAGAAGCCCAGCTGAACTTCGTTGGGGGCGTCAACTTACTCCTAAACTTGACCGGTTGCATCCGGACAGATTGCCTTCATCTACCTCACATCCTAGGGCACCTAGACAACTACTTGAGGGTGCCCCGGTCTGGACTCGCAATTACGGGCCTGGTCATACATGGGTCCCTGCTTCTGTCTCCAGGGTCACGGGTCCTCTATCCTACGAGGTAGCTCTGGACAATGGTCGTGTCCTGCGCAGGCACATCGACCAACTCCGCCCTAGGCGGCATCTTCCAGCTGAGACTCCTGGGTCTTTTCCAGGGGGGGAGGGGGACCCTTTGGAGCAAAGGGAAGGGCACGAGCTGCTGCCCATCTCCACTGAAGGAGCCACTGACGGCCCATTTCAAGCTTCCGCAAGTGCTCCGAAAAGGAATTCATGGAGCTTACCCACACAACAGGCCCTCACGCCTACTCCAGCCAGGGAGTCACCCCGGGGGCATACTCACTTTCCACACACATCACACAGCACTCCAGTCACGGAGGATACCCGGGAGCATCCCAACAAATCATTCCCCGCAAGAGAGCTGGCACACAATCCCCAGAGTTGGCCTGACCTTACCCCAAAGCCTACAGGGGGTCAAACATACAGGGAGGTGGTCGAGGAGCCAAATCCCGACTACAACACCTCTAGCCCAAATCAGGAAGTAACTGAATTTTGGGAAGGTACAGAATCCCACAGAAGCCCGGATACAGAATGGGACTTAAGGGATGGACAACCCTCTGACAGGTCTTGGTTGGACTTAGGAGGGTCTGCAGAAACGCCCAGCAGTGGCTATCACTTCAAGGGGCCTGAGGGCCTACAGCTAGGTGGGTCAACCAGGTCACAAAGTGACAGGAGCCCTGGCCTGACGAGCTCGGTGGGCAAGCAAGCAGGCCAGGCATTGGGGCAAAGTCCTTGGAAGGCACCAAGGCTTGATAAGGGGAACAGGCTGTTGTCACCCCTCAGTCAGGGAACACCTGTCAGAAACCCAGAACTGAGAAGGTCACAGAGAGCAAGGAAATCTCCTAAATACTTAGAAGATTACATAACATTGTTGGCTAAACAAAAGCCAGGTAACGATAGGAGCACTGGGAAGCAGAACACTGCATAAAATAAATGATTATATGTTGGTAGTAGTTTTAGCCCGGGGGAAAGGGGTGTTATGTCCCGAGCCTTGCAAACGGCTCGGGCGTTTGCAGGCAGTCCCGGGCAGGTGCAAAGCTGCCCGGGACCAGACAGGCTGTCGCCAGCGCCGTGCGCATGCGCGGGTGCTGGCGCAGGAAAAGTATCGCATTGACCCGGGAAATGCCTATATAAGAAGCTGGGAGGTTTTGGGAGCTGCTGAAGCCATCTACTTGTAAGCTGAACGCAGAATAAAGAAAACTGAGAACTACAACTGCTTCTCGTGTCTTGCATTTCCGCGAAGGACTCAACAAGGAGGAAGGGGGGAAGCAAGTAGGAAGGTTGAGGAGAGGAGGAGAGTGGTGAGGAAGAAGAGGGAGGAAGAGGGAAGTAAGGGAGGAAGTTAGAGGGAGGATGCGGTTTGGGGGGAAATGGGTGAGCAATACCAAAAGTTGTGTGTATAAATTTATTTTATTTTTTATCTGAAGTATTTTGTAAGAGTGTAATGAAAAATGGAAAATAAAAACTTTTTACCCAAAAAAAAAAGGTGCCATGAATCCCAAACTGAACGGGAAGCGGAGGACAGCAAATCCTTATCCACAGAGACCTTTGCTCCTCCCTCCCTCCTGTCAATCAGTAACTTCGTGGAGACCTGGGTTAGTTAACACAGGGCTCCTCAACCTTGGCAACTTTAAGACTTGTGGACTTCAACTCCCAGAATTCCTCAGCCAGCAAAGCCAGTTGAAGTCCACAAGTCTTAAAGTTGCCAAGGTTGAGGACCCCCGAGTTAACATATGATTCCTATATAATATTATTCACGGTTATATACATTTATAAATTCTTCCCACAACAGATGAGTGAGTGGGTGCAGTTGCAGTGTCCCTGAGGTCAGTTGCAAGGACGGGTAGATTGCCAAGCCAATCTGAACTGTGACCTCATGACCCTGTGTGTGTGTGTGTGGGGGTGCTGCTACAGCAGTAGTTCTCAACCTGTGGGTCAGGACCCTATTTGGGTTGAACGACCATTTCACGGGGGTCGCCAAACAACACAGTCTGCCATTTCCCCCCCTTTTCCTTAGCTGTGCTACTCCCTTTTATTCTATTGGCTTTCGAAAGCCAATAGAATAGACTCCCTTGAATAGAGTCTAATTCTATTGGCTTTCCAAAGCCAATAGGAATTGTCCAGGCTGTCTCTGCCCTGCTGAGCCCGCCAAAAGTCCCATTCTGCAAACGGTGGTGCATCAGTTGAGTAGTCCTCGACTTACGACCGGTTGAGTAGTCCTTGACTTACGACCGGTTGAGGGTTGCGGCATTAAAAAGGTTGAGAACCACTGTGCTACAAGGATCCTAATCTTGAATACAGGTTGTATGTTCTTTCGTTCGGCACTGCTGTAATTTCTGCACTCTTTATTTGCAGCCCACTGAAGTCTTCAGTCGACGCTATGAACAGGAATCAACAGGAAGAGGGTCCAGGTAACCAAGCAGGAGCTGCTGGGATACCTTCTCTGCCTGTCTGAAGAGGGAGGGGGCTGGCAAGGTTGCCAACGCTAGTGCTTTTCTCCGGCTCGCTTTGGGGCGCCCCCAGTACCACCACCACCTCATCCTGGCAGCCTGCTTCTCCTGCCTCTGCTAACCCATTGGAAGCAAGGCCAGCCAGCCAGCCCAGGCTTGTGTTCAGTTGGCGCAGTCTCCCAATGGATGGTAGCTCAGTCAATTTGCTCAGGGGGGAACTCTCTGCTTGAAGATACCTTGCCAGGTTCTCAGAGCTCACTCTAAGTGGCCATGACAGACTTTTTCCTTCCCAGGAGACCCTTAAAGATCTTCGTGCGGATCGGTTTGGTTTTTATACTGTAGACAATGGGGTTCATAAGGGGCGGCACTAAAAGGTAGACGTTGGCCATGAGGATGTGAACCACCGGAGAAGCATTTTTCCCATAACGATGGATCATGGAGAGCCCAATCATTGGCGTATAGAAGGTCAGGACAGCACAGATATGGGATATGCAGGTATTCAAAGCTCGGAGACGTTCTGCCTTAGAGGCTTTGCTTAACACGGTTTTGAGGATCATAATGTATGACAACACAAGCAACGTAGAGTCCAGAACCATAGAAGACACCACCACCATCAAGCCGTAGACACTGCTGATCCTTCGGTCTGAGAGCACCACCTTCAGAATGTCCTGGTGCAAACAGAAGGAATAGGAGAGGACATTGATCCTTCCGTACTCCAGACGCTTCAGGAGGAAGGAGGCTGGGAAGACAAGGAAGGCAGCTCGAAGGGCTACCCCCGCCCCAATCTTGATAACAGCCTCATAGGTCAAGACACTGGTGTATCTCAGAGGGTTCCAGATGGCCACCAAGCGATCGAAGGCCATAGAGATTAGAATACCCGACTCAAGAATGGAGAAAGTGTGGATGAAATACATCTGGACCAAGCAGGCATCAAAGTGGATCTCAGGGTGGTTGAACCACAGGACACTCAGCATGGTGGGCAAAGTGGCCAAGGACAAGCCCAGGTCCGAGAGGGCCAGCATGGACAGGAAATAGTACATGGGGGAGTGGAGAGTTGGGTCCGTCCTGATGACGAAGAGGATGGTGCAGTTCCCTGTGAGGGCCACCAAGTACATGGAGCAGATGGGGAGGGAAATCCAGAAATGGTGTATCTCTAGGCCAGGAAAACCTGTCAGGAGGAAAATTGGGGGGCTGGCAGTCTTATTAGAAGATGTCATAATGCTGTCCCAAGACATGTCGCCTGCAGTCTTTGATGGGTGCTGTCAAGGAAACATATATATTAAAAAAGGTATGATAGGTAGTGACTCTACAGCAGTGGTTCTCAACCTTTTTAATGCCGCGACCCCCAACCGGTTGTAAGTCGAGGACTACCCAACCGGTCGTAAGTCAAGGACTTTCCCTGCCTGGGAGTGCCACGCATGCGTGGTGCCGCCCCCTGCGCCGGCCATGGCGTAGCTGGCAAGCGGCAGAGACAGCGCAGGCCGACCACCGGCTGGGCCACCAGCTGGCCCAGCCCAAGTGAGGTAAGGCAACCGCCAGGCCCCACACGTGCCAGCAACCCTCCCTGTGCCCACCGGCCTCCCACCTCCCACCCCTGGCCCTCTTTTCCTTACATTTTTAGTAGTTGCTCAGTAGGGAGGGATGGAAGCTTCCAGACAGCTCGCCTTCGCTGTAGACAACTTGCAGCACCGTTTGCAGACTGGGACTTTTGGCGGGCTCAGCAGGGCAGAGACAGCCTGGACAATTCCTATTGGCTTTTGAAAGCCAATAGAATTAGACTCTATTCAAGAGAGTCTATTCTATTGGCTTTCAAAAGCCAATAGAATAAAAGGGAGTAGCACAGCTAAGGAAAAGGGGGAAAAAATGGCGGACTGCATTGTTTGGTGACCCCCGTGAAATGGTCGTTTGACCCCAAATGGGGTCCCGACCCACAGGTTGAGAACCACTGCTCTACAGTATCAATCTACAGAGGTCACTACTATGTGGACACCGCCACAAAATCACTTGATTTATTACACTGATGTACCCCCTAATGATTCTGAGAGGATTCTAAAGCAGGGAGAGCTAAACCCAAGACTCATTTTCTCAAACCCCTCAAATCCATTTTATTAATGGATGTGTTGCCCATCGCAACTATCCCATAGCAATTTAGAATGCAAAAAGGAAAAATTAAAAAGTGCCTTGAGCTTTCCATAATATGTAGAAAGTGAATGGCTTTTGTTAGCTGCATCTTAAGACCAAAAGATATTATTATATCAAGGGTGGCATTACCCGTTTTTCCTCACCCTGAGAGGCAGTTTGGGGTTGTGGTTGAGGAATCAGGCTGGGTAGCGGGAGACCAGCTGGGTGACCTTGGTCAGTCCTTCTCTCTCTGCCCCAGGCAAAAGCCGAACCTCTTTCTCCTTGTCAAGCAAACTTCCATGGACTTGTCAAGATTGCACATAATTCAATAGAAGAAGAGAAAAGTACCTCCTTAATTCTCCAAATTTCTCAGATGTTCCCAACATCTATTCAGGCAGTTCCTTCAATATTCTGCAGGAAGGAGCATCCTCTGGAGAACCTGGTGACTTCAAGGCACTCAAACTAGCAAGAAGGTTCTTTTATCACATCTTTTCTGGTGTAACCTCTTGTTTCTACCTTGTCAGCCTCACCACAGCTGATGGAAAACACCCTGCAATTTCCACCATACAAGAGATTTATATGTCTTAGGGCGGCACTGGTTGCTTTCACCAGAGAAAACTCCTCTGAGAGCTGTCCAAGGCAACTTTCTTTGTCCATGTGCTCTCTAAGGATCCCTGAGGATCAAGTGTGGGGAATCTCCGCAGCTCAAGGTTGATCTGTGGGGTCCTTGGTGTTCTCTGAACTTGGTTGTTTTTCTGAAGACATTTCATGTCCCAAACAGCCAACTACTTCAGTGCTAACTAGAATTCTGGAGAGCCCAACTAGTTATCAGGCTATCAGTTGACTGGAAACACTTAAAGCAGCAGACAGAATCCAACAGATTTTGATAAGTGAGTCTATTGCAGAAAAGCTAAGAAGCTGCTACTAGGGAAGGAGTCCGTAACTGCTGTGTGTCAAATGCAGGCGCCCTTTAGAATGAGAGGCCTGGTACTCTGTGACTTAATGGAGCTGGAGACAATCTTTGCTCCGGCTGTTTGAGTCCTACATCACATGATGGAGTGAGCTCCCACCACTTGCCTCCGCTTCTGCCCACCTGGCTGTTTGAAGCATGATATACGCTAGTAGATAAATAGGTATCACTTTGGTGGGAAGACGAGCCAGTTGCCTTCGTGCAGATGGCCAGAACCTTGCTGGCTGGCACTGGACGTTCCCGGATGAAATGCCCACTTACAAGGCGACTCCAGTGGAGGGAGAAGGCCCCAGAGGACAGTCTTTTTTTCTGGTATGGAGCTAGCTTGCCCCCTGTGGTGCACCTTGGGAAACGCACACGCTTGAACTGAACGAGTTAGCAGGCAGTCGAACTGTTACTCTGCATTAGCATTGTAGTCTTCTGGCGAATGTAACGTCACCGTATGCTAAATAAATAATAAATGACTTAAAATGGGGTTGATCTTCAAGGTCTTACTACTTTAATGTTCACAAGATTCACAGATTCAGTGGTATTAAACAAGCTCTGAGTACAATCCAAAGCAAAACTCAGAGAATCGTTTTTTCAAAGAATGTTTATCAGAGAGAAGACATCCGGAGGACAATAGGTTAGAGAAGAGCCCCCTTGACCCTCCAGAACAACCACGTGTCACTTGGGATCAATAACCCATGAGGTGCTACAAAACGTATGGCGGGCTGGGAGAAAGTGGGAGGGGCTGAGGGGCAAGGAAGGGAGGGACAAGGAAGGGTCAGGAGGGAGGTCTCCCCAGAAGTTCTGCTTCAGGAGGAAGAAAGCGGAGACTCCTTGAGGGAGGACAAGGAGAGATGTGGGAGTCCAGCAGGGCACCCACAAGCCCAGAAAGTCTTCTGGAGAGTCCCAGCCACAGGAGAGAGATGGGCCTTGGCCCAGCATCTGGAGACCTGTTGATGCCTCCACCACTTCTGAATCCATCGAAGGCTTTGAGCAAGAGGGACTCCAAGAGCCCCAGATATACTCAGATCAGGAGGGAGACATTAATTCCCTCCTCACCCCTCAGGTGGGACCCCCCACCTTCCTCCCTCTGACCTTTTTTATGGGAATGGTGATTAAACCTAAGACAGTACATTGTGATAGCTACTCAGGGGATACCATGGTGATGCCTCTTGGAACCCACATTATTTAATATTTTTATTAATGACCTGGATAATGGGGTTGAGGGGCTTCTTGTCAGATTTGTGGATGATGTAAAATAGTGATGTTTGAGAAAAGGTTGAGGATGACTGAATTTAACCTGGACGGTTGAAACTGACGGTTGACCAAGAGGAACCAGATGTCTTTCAACAGCAAGGAAAATAAAATATTAAATTTGGGGAAGAAAGACATTGCAGGGATAATAAAAAAGGAGGTGTTATAGCTTGGTAACCTTGTATTAAAGAATGACATAGATACTGTGGTTGACAACAAACTGAACTTGAGCTGGCACTGCAGTTCTGAGATCTGTCAGAAGAAGCATCTCATCAAAGACACCCAAACCCCCTTTTCTGTATGGGAGAGACCACCAGGGAAGTACCCTGCGTAGCTATGGGCGTCCTGTTTCCAGAGGGATATTGAGTGATTAGAAGACATTCAGAGAAGAGCAGCAAATTTAATAAAAGGATCTTGCAGATATGCCCTGTGGGAACAAAACGAAGGAATAGAGACAATGCTGAGTCTTAAGAAATGACGATCGCAGGCAGATATGACCTAGCCACGTTTTGGAACCTCCTTGAGAAGAGGTTGAACGGACACCTCTCATGGAAGTTAAATTGGTTTTCTAACACACAACATAGTAGATGATTCTCATGATCCCTTCCAACTCCATAGTTCTCTATGAACCCTTATGGGGTCCTTGGTTCTCTCTGAGCTTGGTTGCTTTCTGGCAGATATTTCATTACCAAATTAGGTAACATCATCAGTGCTACATGTCAGTGTTCCTAGCAGGGATGATGTTACCTAGTCAGGTGATGAGGTGCAAGATGAGGTGAACCTCTGCAAGAAACCAACCAAGTTCAGAGAGCACCAGGGACCTCACAGTTCAGTCGTGAAACCTATGTTCCCTACCTGTGTGAATGTGACCTGATCCACAGAGAAAGGCTCTCTGAATCTTTTGGAAGACTTGACCTGCCTTTCATGGAATTTTAGACAGTCATATTTAGTACTAAGAACGGAAGCTTCTCGTTTTCGTGTTCCACTTGAGGAAAATTTGGATGATCTTGTCTCGAATTTGCTTGGTTTTTACACTGTACACAATGGGGTTCATGAGGGGTGGCACCAGCAGGTACACGTAGCCCATAAAAACACGGACCAAGAGTGGGGAATCCTTCCCAAACCTGTGTATCACAGTTAAGCCAATCATTGGTGTGTAGAAGAGCAACACTGCAGAGATATGTGAGCCACAAGTGCCGAGGGTTTTGTGGCGGGCTGCCTGTGATGCGATGCCCAACACAGTCTTGAGGATCACCATGTAAGAGAAGAGGATGAGGAGTGAGTCCAGCCCCACTGTGGAGAAAATGACAAACATGCCATAAATGGTGTTGACGGTGATGTCCGAGCAGGCCAGGTTCATCACCTCCTGATGCAGGCAGTAGGAGTGGAAGAGGAGATTGATGCAACAGTAGCGATGTCTTCTGAGAAGGAGGGGAAATGGCAAGACCAAGGCCACCGCTCTGGCCACAAATGCCAGGCCCATCTTCCTGATTCTGGGCATGGTCAAGATGGCGGCGTATCTGAGGGGGTTGCGGATGGCCACAACGCGATCGAAGGCCATGGCCAAGAGCACAGAGGACTCCATCAATGAGAAGGAGTGGATGAAGAAGAGTTGGGTGAAACAAGCAGTGAAGCTGATCCTTCTGGCGTTGAACCAAAAGACGCCTAGTATGGTTGGCATGGTGGAGATGGATAAACCAAGATCTGTGATAGCCAGCATGGAGAGGAAGATGTACATGGGGTTGTGGAGGCATCGGTTTGTTTTGATCACCAAAAGAATAATGGCGTTCCCCAAAAGGGAAATGAGATATATGGCGCAGAACGGGATGGAGACCCAGGCGAGGTTGGATTCCAGACCAGGAATCCCCGTCAGCCAGACCACCGATGGAGTCCGTCTGGAACTGTTGAGGAGTGCCAAGGAGTTGAGGGAGGTCTCAGGAGCACCTGGCATCTTCCTTCAGATGACGGATGGCGCCTTTTTGACTCTGAGCATGGAGAGTTGAGGTTGGGAAGGACCCAAAGAAACATTTGGGTTCCTCCTGACGTGCTGCCTTTCACTTCTTGTTGGATTTTGATCCTGAGAACAACCAGAAAGATGGATATTAGTTGGGATGCATCCCTGGAAATAATATGAACATATAGGCATACATCCACGGAAGGTGTTAGCTAGATCTCGTTTGCATGCCAAGATTTCCTCCAGCCAATTTCTCTTTCCACTTCCCTATCTATGTTCTCAGCTGATGTCATGCTACGTGGGGAAGACCGTGGGAGATGGGCAGAACAGGTGCTGCCCAGGACATGGTCAGGTGAAACCGTCTCGGTTCCTTGGGCTGTTCTTTCAGACTTGCAAGGTTCTGTTACTGTAGTTTTGAGGCCAACTAGTCGTAATCTGGCCATGTTTCTTGTCTGGTCTTATCAGGCTAAACTCAAGAATAAGGTAGAAAAATTCCTCCAGCGTTCAGTTCTTTATTTGCTTACACACAAGGGACACAACCTTGCCAGACTAAATCCTTACTACTCTCACCCTAATGGGTTTCCGCTTGGAAATTCTAAGGAGGTGAATAATAATAATAATAATAATAATAATAATAATAATAATAATAATAATAATAATAACCCCCAGTGAGGCACTACCTTGACGTGGTTGTGGGGCTTGTGTACTCTGAGGAAGATGAGAGCTATGCCAGAGGTTCAACCATACTGGACAAGTCTCATCAGAGGAGTCAGACAAAGAGTGTCTCTCCCATACAAAATATGGTGAGACGTAAATTGCAGAATGCCATACCGGCTCGGATGTCGCCCGGGTTAACAAGGTCCGCACTAGATATTGGAGTTCCTGGATATCTGGTGAAAAATGGGTTACAGGACTCAGGACTGTTGGCTGAGCAACCAGGGCCAGCAGCTGCAGAACTACTGGAAGAAAAGGTGTCTACCCGTCGCAGATACACAGTGATGGAAAACAAAGAAATAATGATCTGTTACTACAGATCAAGTCCAACAAGACGAGGATATCTAAAACGAATGCACCAGTTCTGTAAAGAACAACATCCAGAATCAGAAATAACAGAACAGAGACTAGCAGATCAACGCCGATTTATAACACGAAATAAAGTATTCACAGAAACAGAATTGGACGAACTGCAAAGGTTTACCCAGGGCAAAGAAATCAAAGCCTTACCAGAAGTAATTCAGAATGTAGAGGCAAACCAGGGGGAGTTGGCAGTGAAGGAATCCAGCAGAGATATACAACTGTTCTCATTTGGAAACCAGGCACCTCTACCTCAGGAAGAACAAAACCCTCTAACTAAAGAAATAAAAGAATTAAAACAAAGAATAACTGAGCATCTAGAACAGCACAAAAACAACAGAATAAGGCTACCTGCATTGAAGCTTGTTCCAAAGAAACAGCTAGCACAAGCATTAAAAGATGCAAATACTGCAATATCAAGTATAAGCACCAATTCACTGCAAGAAACAAACCAACTAATGTACAGCACAGCTGCAGTTATAACAGAATACTTGGGATGCAAAATCAACAAAGAAGAAAAACAAACAAACAGTGCACCAGAAAAATGGAAGGTTAGACTAGAAAATAAGATCAGCAAGTTAAGATCACATGCAAGCAAGCTAGAACAGATGAAAGAAAAGAAGCTGAAGAACAAGAAGACCAAAGAATACCTAATCAAGAAATACCACTTAGAAACAAGGAAGATCAAGGAAGCACTGGAAATAATAAAGCAACAAATAACAGCTATAGCCAGGAAAATCAGTAGATATGAAGCTCGAATTGCAAACTATAGGCAGAACCTCCAATTTCAATCCAATCAGAAACGTTTCTACCAATCCATCAATGGAGAAACTGCAAGGAATCAGTCAGTACCTGACAAGGAAGAAACAGTGCAGTTCTGGAAGCAGATATGGGATAACCCAAAGAAATACAACAAGGATGCGGCTTGGTTAAAAGAGGTGGATGCAAATAAAACAGAAGTTGAAATGAAAGAACTAGTAATAACAACAAAAATGGTAGAAAAAAGAGCAAAGAAAATCAAAAATTGGTCAGCACCAGGTGAAGATGAACTGCATGGGTTTTGGTTGAAACATCTAACTGTTATACACCCACTCATTGCCAAGCAGTTCAACAATATACTACAAGGAGGAGAAATTGAAAAGTGGCTAACAACTGGGAAAACCTACCTAATAATGAAAAATCCAGCAAAAGGGGCAACACCAGGTAACTACAGGCCAATTACCTGCTTACCAACAACTTTCAAATTACTAACTGGTGTAGTAGCTGATGCAGTGCAACAGCATCTAGTTGAAAACAATCTCTTTCCACCTGAGCAGAAAGGAAACCGCCCCAATAGCAGAGGAACAAAAGATCAACTCCTAATAGACAAAATGATCTTGGAAAACTGCAAGAGAAGGAAGACCAACCTGAATGTGGCATGGATTGACTACAAAAAGGCATTTGACTCTCTGCCACATGATTGGATAATAAAGTGCCTAGAAATAACAGGAGTCAGTAGAAACATCAGAAAATTTGTGCAAAGATCGATGGCACAATGGAAGACACAGTTGCAGATCAATGGTGAGAGGCTGGGAGAGGTTAATATCAAGAGAGGAATATTTCAAGGAGATTCATTATCACCATTACTATTTGTTATTGCATTGTTTCCTCTGTCAACAATACTGAATAACTCAGGACATGGCTATCAAACATCAAAAACATCTGCCAGACTATCCCACCTCCTTTACATGGATGATCTGAAGCTGTATGGAAAAACATCATCTGAAATAGAATCGCTGCTCAACACTGTCCGTATATATAGCCAAGATATTGTAATGGAGTTTGGCTTGGACAAATGTGCCACACTTACTATCAAACAAGGAAAAATAATGAAAACTGAAGGAATCAAGATGCCCCACGAAAATAACATTAAGAGTCTGGATGAGGAAGAGTACTACAAATACTTGGGTATCCTTCAAGCTGACAACATCAAGCACACTGAAGTCAAGAAAAAGATTAGAGGTGAATACATCAAGAGAGTGAAGAAGATCTTAAAATCCAAACTCAATGGAGGAAATACCATAAAGGCAATCAACACCTGGGCAATCCCAGTCATTAGGTACACAGCTGGAATAGTGGACTGGACTCAAGCAGAACTAAAAGCAATGGATAGGCAGACCAGAAAAATAATGACAATGAATCACGCCCTTCATCCACTCAGTGACATTGATAGACTTTATCTACCAAGGCAAATAGGTGGGCGTGGAATGCTACAAGTACATCAGATGGTTGAAGAAGAAAAAATGGCTTTGGAAAAATATCTGAAGAACAATGATGAAGATGCACTGAAATTAGTATATCAGGAAGGCTTACTTACTACTGGAGAGACCAAACTGGCCTACAAGAAAGACCAAATGAAGAACAGAATAGAGGCATGGGAAGACAAAGCACTACATGGCCAATACATGAAAAAAATAGCTGGGAAAGCAGATAATAATAAAACCTGGCAATGGCTAAGAGCAGGAAAATTGAAGAAAGAGACCGAGGGACTAATTCTGGCTGCACAAGACCAAGCCTTAAGGACAAATGCATACAAAGTCAAAATTGAGAAGACAGCAACAGACAGTAAGTGCCGCCTATGCAAAGAAGCTGAAGAAACAGTGGACCACTTGGTAAGCTGTTGCAAGAAGATTGCACAGACTGACTACAAGCAGCGGCATGACAAAGTAGCAACAATGGTGCATTGGAAGATCTGCAAAAAATATCATTTGCCTGTAAGCAAAAACTGGTGGGATCATAAAATAGAGAAAGTCATAGAAAATGATAAAATTAAACTGCTCTGGGACTTCAGAATTCAAACAGACAAGCACCTGCAACATAACACCCCAGACTTAACAATTGTCGATAAGAAAGACAAAAAAGTCTGGATAGTGGACGTGGCAGTGCCTGGAGATAGCAGAATAGAAGAGAAAGAACTGGAGAAGATAACAAAATACAAAGACCTACAAATAGAAATAGAAAGACTGTGGCAAAAGCAAGCAAGGGTAGTACCAATAGTCATAGGCTCCTTGGGTGCAATCCCCAAAAAACTGGAGCACCACTTGAACACCATTGGCATTGACAAATTCGCTATTAGTCAATTGCAAAAGGCAGCCTTATTAGGAACTGCTTCCATCCTGCGACGATATCTGTAATACCATCAAACATCCACATCTGCCTATCCCAGGTCCTGGGTAAGGACTCGATAGGTAGACAAAATGCCAAATCCAGTCTGAACATCTGGCTGACTGTGCGATGATCGATAATAATAATAATAATAATAATAATAATAATAATAATAATAATAATATAGTTGGAAGGGACCTTGGAGGTCAGCTAGTCCAACCCCCTGCTCAGGCAGGAAACCCTATTCCATTTCAGACAAATGGCTGTCCAGTCTCTTAGAATAGAATAGAGTTGGAAGAGACATTAGAGGTCATCTAGTCCAACCCCCTGCCCCCCTATTCCATTTCGGGCCAATGGCTGTCCAGTCTCTTCTTAAAAACTTCCAGTGTTGGAGCATTCACCGCTTCTGGAGGCAGGTTGTTCCACTGGTTAATTGTTCTGTCAGGAAGTTTATCCTTAGTTCTAGGTTGCTTCTCTCCTTGATCAGTTTCCACCCGTTGCTTCTTGTCCTGCCTTCAGGCGCTTTGGAGAAGAGCTTGACTCCCTCTTCTTTGGGCAGCCCCTGAGATACTGGAACACTGCTATCTTGTCCCCCCTTGTCCTTCTCTTCGTTAAACTAGACATACCCAATTCCAGCAACCTTTCCTTATATGCTTTATCCTCCAGTTCCCTGATCATCTTTGTTGCTCTTCTCTGCTCTCTTTCCAGAGTCTCAACATCTTTTTTACATCGTGGTGACCAAAACTGGATGCAGGATTCCAAGTGTGGCCTTACCAAGG